ATCCCTCCTCCTCCGAGTCCGTATCTGTGGTCAAAGCGGGTGGGAAGAGCGTTACATCACAGAATGGGGGTTTGGGGTTTTCGGGTGGGTTTGGGGGAGCTTTGGTGCATTTCTTTGTGAAGATGCTCTAAACGAGGAGGTGAAGGAGGCTACAGGAGGGGCTGCCATTGTCCACCTCTGCCCACTCCATCACAAGCCTCATGCTCAACAAGTGGGTGCTGAATAAACAAAGAAATTCACATTTCCTTCTTTCCATCAGAAATGGACACTCTCCACCTTGGCCAAACACCTCCTGTCCTCCCTTAAGACAAGATCCAAGGAGTGTTATTATCTCAGCAGAAGAAAACTGAGGCAGACACTTTTGCTATGAAGATGTTCACCAAAAGCACAGCAATGTCAACAACTGGACCATCAACATGAATTAGTCTTCACCATGGTGATATTCAATGCTCTCGACCTAAATCTCCTTTTCTACATGAACCAATTCTCTCCGAGGGTTTTCAACACAGGCAGCACATCTAACTCCAAATGTCTGACTTCAAACACACCACCACAGACACCCAAACAGAGCAGGGAGCAAGCCACTCCTCTGTCTGCGAACTGTGGCTTTACAAAGCTGCTAAGCCTTGTGGGAGGTGAAAAGTCACCAGCAGTCCTCTCTGGCATCTGATGAGTGGAACAGGAAACATATGGTCCCCCTGGACACAACAGAAGCGGGTATAAATTGTCACCTCCTCACTTGTGAACACACCACCGGCTCCACAACATTACAAACACTGTGGCAGGGACTGTTCCAGCCTGTGAGCAGCAGCAGATGCTCTCCAGTGTTAGCCCAGGTTGGGCATCACTCCCCAACTCCACTGCAATGGGTTGTAGAGAAGAAGAAACAGGGGATGGCGAGTTCAGGAGGCCCAAAGCCCAACTATGCAAATTATTTTGGACGCCTGACTTTTAAAATTTGTGGGAATATGATGCTCAGCTCTTCCTCTGGATCTATGCCCAAAGTTTTCAGGACTCCAGCTAGAAAATCAAGACGTTACGAGGCAGAAGGACTTGGCGCCAGTCCTGCTTCTCCTCCTCCACATGAGCAGCCCACCAGTCATGGGAGGTGCTGCCATATGCTCGACCTGCCTCCCCAAATTCACCATGCCTGAGTGACCAAATGACAGGCTGAAGGCCTTTCCTTGAACCTGCACACAGATGAAAAACCACACACCAAAGCTGAGCCATTTCCTCAGAGCTGAGACTTGTGTGGAAAAGAGGCCCCCTCCTACACTGGAACACTCACTGGACAGTGGTCGAATAGAAGCTCTATTAGGTCTGGGTGGGAGTTTTTGTTCATGAAACCACAGTACCAAGTGCAAGGGCACTGTAAAAGCTCCCTCTGCCACAAGTCAAAGCTTTTAGTTTCAGCAACAGCCCATGCCTACTCCTCCCATTAGCTCCAGAACTCCTAGTTTAGGAGCCATGTGTCTGTCCTTGGGGGGTGAAGCACATTCAAGAACAGAACTGCTGGGCAGTGTGTACAGCACAATCAGCCAAAGGCTGTGTTCGAGTCCAGTGGACATAATGGCTCTTATTTTGCCATGTAAATGGCTAATTTCATGCCAAACATTTGTTCCATTGGACAATCACTAGTTCATCTTCCCCATTAGTGAAATTTCTAAACTGGTGTTGCACCGAGAGATGTATTTGTTATGCACACAAACACCCCATAAAGGTTCTAACACGGTTTTAAATAGCTGCAAGCAAAGGAAAAGATGTGTGTGCAAGTGAGCTGAGACCATTACACAACTGGGTCTCAGACCATAAACTCTGCCCCAATGTCTGTCTGAATTGTTAAAGACTCTCCTATCTTTGGTTCTACTGTTTTCCCAACACTACTGGCAATTTCAATTTTTCCTTCTGTAACAGGGGTTGTTTGCTGGAACCTTTACCTCAGGTGCACTTTGGGTTCAGAAATAGCAATCACCACACAGGATGTGGGGTGGGGACAATCACTGATGAGACAGATGGGAAGGCTGAGCACAGTCAGCCAGGAACCAAGGCACGACACTGAAGGGCAGGAGGATGCTCCTGCACCAGTGTCACTGGCAGGCTTTGCCTTTCCAAAGGACTCCATGGCATAATCCTAAAGCCAACCCCACTGCACTCAACAAGGACTTCAAAAGCCAACTCTTAACCACCTCTGGAGCAGTGGCTCTGAGTGCTTGTCTGACAGGTAGAAGGAGAGTGTCTACTCCCAGCAAAAGCAAGAATGTTTGTGGGTCCACTCGGGTTGAAGTGGGTCAACCTCTTTTTGGAAGCATTCTCCCCCACTGATGATGAGAACAAAACAGGTCAGGAAGACACGCTGATATTGAATACCTCTTGCACAGCAAGGTGGGTGGACAACCCATGCTGACCCCAAAGATGCAGCAGCATTGATTAGCCAGGGAAAAAGTCACTTTTCACTCATGAGCAGAAATAGACCCATCTCCAAGACCCCTTCCAAGAGGCCAGAAACCCCCACCACAACCCCCCACAACACATAGAAGAGATAGGAGAAGAGATAAATGAGGGGTTACTTACTATAGGAGTAGCTGCTAACTTCAGATATTGCTGGTGAATGGGAAACCTTGAGCTGATTTTTGACTTTTAACCCCACCTCCATCTTCTTCATTTTGGCAGCCACTTTGTTTTTACCTTCCTTGGTGGTTTTCAGTGACAGGCCCAGGTTCTTGGCCAGGCTCTTCTTCTCCTCCTTGCTTGGCAGAGCCTCATGGGGTGGGAGGTACCTACTGCCACCTCCACTAGTTTTTGTCTTTCCCACAGAGCTGTCGGCAAACTTGAAGGGGGATTTGAGCTTGTCTTGTTTGGTGAGTGACAGTGCCTTGTCAAGCTTGCTGGCCAGCTGCTCCTGATCTGATGGCACCTTCTTCTTTTTGATCTTTAACTGCCAGGGTGAAAGGAAGAGACCAGGTGAATACAGAGCAGATATCATGGCAGACCTGAGGGATTTTACCAGCCCTCGTAACAGCCTCAAACAGTCTAGTTAATAAAGGCTCAAGATGATAGTCTTAGGTCCCAGTTGCCATAACCCACCATGGTGCTAGGGAGGAAGAAGAGGAAGATGTCAGCAAACAGTACAGCTTTCCTCTTACTGAGCACTACAAAATTGCAAGATTAACTTAGAAAAACTGAATGTTCTTCCAAAAGAAACATGTTCATAGCACAAGACGTTTTGGAGTCCTTTTTTCTCAACACCTGTTTTTTAGGATAGGTTTGGATTGCTTTTACAAGCTTTCCTCTGAATCATAAGGATTAAAAATCTTCTTTACCCAAAACCCCAGCCAAATAAATACGGATTTCCACATAATCAACCAGTTCCAGAGGCTAGGATGCCAAAAAGACCCAAATATTTCTCAGTTAGAGCATCAGCACCGCTGCATTGCAGCCAGGGCTGTTACAATCTTTTCAGTATTTTCTTGCTTCTTGAAAAAAGTAAATGTACTTTACATGTGCTACAGTTAGATAACAGCAGTTCTAACTCAGTACTTCGCCTGTGTGCATTTTGGATTTCAGCAGCAGCTTAAAGCTCCAGTAAATATCTCATTGCCTCAACAGGAGCAGAAGAAAGCCCTGCATTTAAAATAGCAAGGCTGCACTCCCTTTCCTCCCTCCCTCCCCTCTCTTGACAGGCAAGGGGGTAAGACAAGCCCTGCTCTGGATTCAGAGCTGGTGCAGCACTGCAACACTCTGGCTGGCTCGAAGGCACTTCACTCTGCCACCTATCAAAGAGGTTCAACCTCTGACAGCCAGTGCCAGCCCCTCCACTGCACAGTCCTCTCACGAGGAACATCTAAACCCATGTGAACTGAAAGCAGACACTGGAAGATCAGGAGGAGTTATCCTACAAGCCAACACTAGCAAAGCAGGAGCGAGATCGGCCTGTGGCCCGTGGCTCCATCTTCCCCACGAGGGCACTGACCTCATTTGAGAAGCTGGGAGCCGCATCATGCTCTTCCCAGCTCTGGTTCCTCCCTTTCATCTTGCCACTGCTGCTCTCCACATCCTCCTCCTCCTCCGGAAGGGCCCCTTTGTGCCTCTTCTTCATGCCCTCGCCAGTCTCGGAGTCTTCGGAGAGCAACAAGGACTTGCTCAGTCTGGAAGCCAAGCACAGGATGGGTCAAGGTGGGGGGCTTTCCTCCCTGTGAACCCCACCAAGCTCAAAAGTGAGGTTAAATGCCTCCTAGGACAACGGGGATCCTCAGCGGGAGCCAAGTCCACTGTGAAAGGACAGCAGTTTGGACAAGGTTTTCCACCAAACAGGAGAGCCAGAGAGCCCTTCTTGCACACTCTTGGCCACCAGCACAGATGAGAGTGCCTGAAATCAGAGACCTGCAAAGTGGTCTCTGAAAGGAAATACTTGGTGTCTTGGTAACAGCCACCAAAAAGTGCCTGATTTGGTACAGAGCAGCAACAGGAAGGACAGACAGTTGAGCTGGCCCTGAAGGTCTTTTGTCACTTCTACTTCCATGGCCTCTGTAGGTGCAGAGAGAGACTCCTAAGGCCCAGGGAGGTGCCCCACTGCCCAGGCACTTGCTTTGGTTGCTTGGGTACTGCTCGGGTATGAGCAAGGAGGTGGCAAGGAACTGTCACGTGGGGTGACATGGAGGGACAAGGGCACTGCAGGGACTGGCTCACTCTGAGTGACTACAAGCCTGGACCCTCTGCAAGAGGCATTTGCGATCCGTGTCACTGGACTTGCTTTGGGATTTGGGGGAAAAGAAGAGGGTAAATAAATAAGAAAATAAAATAAAAAATAAAGTAGGTGAGACTGTAAGCACATCTTTTCCTACTCCCCAGCCATCTCCAATAACTATCAGGTGGATGATCAGTCAACACCTCAAGATCCCTACCAAGCCTCCATTAACAGCTCTCATATGCTGCCTCCTTCACACTAAACCTGCTGGTTGTACCACTACCACAAAGCCACTGACATGGGGCAGCCTCCTCAGCTTCCAGGCATTTTCCCTCCCCTCCATCCTCTCTGCTGACCTCCATAGACAGCTAAACCAACACCTCAGGCCCTGGACGCTCGCTGAGGGTGCATCTCCATCTCCCACAACAGCCTGCTAAAGCACTCCTGTGATGTGGGGACATGCATGCACCACACCATCACACCATCACACACGCCCACATGCACAACTCCAGCCACCTCTGGATGCCTCCAGCCTGTCCAGCCACCCAAACACAAAGAACAAAACAGAGAGCCACCGAGAGGACAGATTTTCAGAAGCGCTGGTCAGTGGGAGCTGGGCACCTGAATCTAATTTGTAGTCTTGAAAGGACGTTTGCAAAAATACAGAGCACAAAGGAAGGCAGCTTGGAGGTGCCTTCCCACTGAAGAGGCCTGGCCACCTATGGATGGTTAGATGGCCAGCAGTGGTGGGATCTGGGCATCCAAACAAGGGCAGCTGGACTTGCAAAAGACAAAAAAGCAAAGGAGAGAATCATCCAGACTCTTGAGAGAGGTCAGGTGAAACCAACTCCCACTGATTCAGGGAACAGAGAGAAAGACAGAAGAAACACAGCACAAAGGTGCTACCAAGTAGATAACCTGGAATAGCCCTGCTCTTCCCGTTTTTGACATCAACATCCCTGCAATTAGTTCTACAGCACCTGCTTGCACCATCTGCTCTCCTGAGAACACACGAGGACACATTCCCTGACACCACGAGCTCACCTACAGGTCCCTGCCCAGCCAGCTGCTCCGTATCACCTCACCACTGCTCAACTGCCTGTCCTACTTGCACCCAACACCACAGACACGTGCTCTACCTGCGGGGAGGGAGGACGCTGGCACCGTATTCCCACCGTAAGGACACGCTCACGTTCAAGGCACACGCTTCCACAACACCACTGCAGCCAGCGACCGGCCCTGGTGAGCCCCCGCTGCATCTGAGATGCTCTCCCCAAATAAGACCCTGGTGCAGCGACCCTGCCATTTTCCCATCTTCCCCAAATTCCAGCCTTACTTTCCACTCTTGCTGTCACTCTTCCCTCTCTCCTTAATGGGTGACAGAGCGCTTGATCCAAGTTTCCTCTTCCTGGGCCTTCCAGGGCCTCTTCTCGCCAAGCTTCTACTTTTCTCGTCATGCTTTTCCCTTTAAAAAAACCACACGCTTCACTGTTAACCAAGGCAACAAAAAAAAAACCAAAAAAAACAAACAAAAAAAAAAAAGGCAAAAGGGAAAAAAAAAGCAAAAGCAAACTTTGCAACCAAAAAGCAAAACGAACAGGGAAAAAAATAAAGAAAATAAATCCAAAAAGAAGAAAAAGGGAAAATAATTAAAAGAAAGCAAGCAAGAATGGGAGCCAACCCAGAACCTTCGCCTGCCACCAAACTGCTAAACTGAGCTGCTGAAGCCAAGGTTGTCTCTAACACAGTCTCCCAGCTGCATTCACCAGTTACCAGGTTGTCGTGTCACATAGCCTAGGAGTGTGCTGTGAAAAGCTCTGGCGGGATGTACCAGGAGGAGAGGAGAAGAGACAGGGAGGGATGGAGGGCTGTTTTCTGTCCCGGACCAAAAGGCAGCGGAAGTGCCCAGCTGGAAAAAAACAAGACCAAGTGAGCAGCCTGTGACTTACTCGGAGTCCCTGCGGCGCTGCAGCTTCACCAGCTCCCGCTGCTTCTCCTTGTAGCGCCGCTGCAGCTCCGCCAGCCTCATCCTGTAGTCCAGCTCCATCGCGTCCATGTTCTCGATGGCCGATTTGATGGAGTACATCTAGGGTGGGGAGGCAAGAGGGGGCGAGAGGGTCAGACACGCCCAGGTGGTGCCCACTGGGTGCCTTTGCAATGGCCAAGGCGTGCAGGCTGGCAGAAAGCCCTTGGTGCTGACAGGGCAGCAGAGACCCCTTGCCCACAAGCACAGCCCCACAGTGGTACCAAGGAAACCCGCCAAGCAAAGATGTTCTGTGGCTTATGCATGGGATGGCATCAGCTTTGAGGGACTGCAACCCTGGGAAAGAATCTGCAGGATAAAATACAGCCATGGAGTCTCTTTTCCCTTGTTTAAAAAGATAGATCACAATATATCCTATCTTGCAACACTTACTTGCTGGGTACAAAATAATTTGTCGGTCTCTCTCATGGGGAAGAGTCAGTAAGGAAAAAATCAAGGAAAAACCCTCCTGACACTATATTTATGCCCCCCCGTTGTCAAAACAGTAACACGTGAGTTCCTTTGGCTTTGTATTACAAACATCACTTCTAGGGCTGCCCAGGGTCCTGCTGAACCTTGATTCACACACAGGGTAGGAAGCTAAATCAGAGCACACCAACTCCTTGCAGTCAGGAACACGAGGGAAGAGCCAGCTCGCTCTGCTGAATGCAGACAGGCAGCACGAGCCTCCCAAACTGGGGCTGCGACAGTGAGTGGTGGGAGTGGATGCACTGGGGCTTTTCAGGCTCAGCCACTTACTGGTTCATCTTTCTTCTGCATCCAGCTGTACTTTTTGTTGGGATTCAGCTCTCGAGGCAGCCGGATGGTTTTCAGACTTTCCATAAAGGGGGTGGAAAGTACTTCCATGAGCATGTGGGTGCTGGCAGCCAGCAAACTCTCCAGTGTTGGCCGGACAGGAAAACCCTCTGGACCTGCTGGGAAGGACAGAAAAAAGAAGTTATAGACATTCACATTCCAAGACCGCTTCTCCAACAGGCATGAGGAGAGGCTGATGGTCCTTTCTGGACTATGGCTGCTGAAGGAGCCTCCCAGCCACCCTTAGTCCCCACTCGAGACCTCCTGTTGTACCCAGCCATGGTGCAAGTGGCAGTTCCCATCATGTCTCACCTCAGGAAGTTACTGGAAGGTGAGATTCTCTTCAGGACCTGCCAAGCTCTTGGAAAGTGTCATCTGGAGCTACTGGGACCTCTTGTGCCAAACCCCAACAGACTGTAGACTCACTGCCTGCCAGAAGGGTGTTACCCTGGCAGCTCCCGGCAACTGGGGCTCCGTTTCCGCTACACATACCACAGACTGTCTAGACATGGCGAGGGCCTTTGGAAGGGGAGAGCAGTACAAAAGCCACACGTAGCTCAGCCTACTGCAACAAAAACCCTGCTCCAACTCCATCCAAAGTACCATCCACTCCTGCAACTCAGGGTAATGCTCTCCTTGCTGCCTGGCTGAGGCTGCAAGAGATCCCACCTGTGCCCACACGGAGAGCACAGGGACCATACGCTGCGAGACCCACCCTGGCCCAAAGCTCACCAGACTCCACACTCACAACTTACTTTGCATTTCTTGCTTCCGTTTCTCCAGCTCCATCTCTGCAATTTCACTCAGCAAAGTGATCCCCTGCAGGAAGGAGTGCTCCAGGGTCTGGTCAGTTAACACCTCCACCTTCATCTGGGATGGAGTGACAGTGGTGGTAGTCAACAAGGAACAAGCCTGAGGCATTTCTGTAGCAGCCACCAAAGCATTCATCCCAGCCAGCGGGTCACCCGGCTTGATGTCCAGATCTGGGATTTGGCAAGAGATTGCCTCTTCTGTATAGGAAGGGATCTCTGGCCCCTGCTCCCCCTCCTCAGGGGGTAGGCTGGGAAACTCCCTCCCTCGGGGCACATCGGCGCTCTGCAGATCCATGGCTACAGAGGCCTCCTCCCGCTGGGTCGTCAAGTCCATCTCTGGTGGCTCGTTCTCTGCATGCACAAGCAAACCATCGTAGTCCATGTGCATGGAACAGGTTTCTGCTCCACTCCCAGTCTCTGCCTCAGCCTCTGCTTCTGCAGGACAGGTCACAACCTGGTAAGGAGGTGAGCAGCTCTGGAGGTCTTCCTGGTCCTGCTCCATAGCACCCAGGGTTTCCCCTTGATGTAACAGGAGATTGCAATTTTCCACGTTCTGCACTGGGACGGCTGCGGAGGTGGTGATGTTCAGAGTCCCCATGTCCTGCTCACAGATGCCTTCTTGGCTTTCTTCCATCTGCACCTCTGATTTCACCCTCTCTTCCAAGGATTCCTCTTCTGCTGCTGCTTGGATGGGCTCTAGGATTTTGGACGGAGACAGGTGGATGGGCTTGACCTCTGAGGAAAGCTCCATGTGCTCAGACCCTTCAGCAGGCAGCGGGACGTCAGGAGCCAGGCCATCCGCATCAGATGCTGGGGCAGGCTGGATGAGGTAGGGATAATGTCTTCCAAAGGAGGGAGGCAGGGACTGGAATGGATATCCAGGGGGGATCTCTGCAAGATATCAGAAAGGACGGGCTGTGTAACAGATGGGTCTCCAAAGCACGTTCTCTCTTACTAAGGCATAGAGATGGTTCCCTTTGCATTCATCATCTCTGGTCTCTTCCTGTTCTCAAGCAGTAGCTGCTTCCAGCACCTCTCCCCTGTTCAAGCTGCCAGAGGCAGCAGCACCCCAGAAATCCCTTCTGCAACTTTCCAGCACTCTCCTGCAGCTGGAGAGAGATCTGCCTCTTGCATCCTCTCCCACTGGGACTGCAGCCCTGGAAGAACCAACCCAGGCTGGACCCAAGGGAAGAAAAGAGCCTACAGCCCCAGGTGCCCCTCAGACCCAGGCATCGATCCCAGTCCCTCACACCACCCCTGCTCCTTGCTTCTCCCCTGCCTTTTAGAGGAGCTACGTGGTTTTCCCTAGGGGAAGGGACAGAAGCAGGAAAGACTGAGGAGAAAAAGGGAGGTAGGCACAAACACAACGGGAGTCTGCCAAAGCAGGGCTCTCTTACCTGGGAACAAGGCCTGATATGGACCAGTAGCCTCTTTTTCCAGCTCCAAGTCTTTCTTGTCCACGGTCTCAGGTGCCTCTTCCTTCGGAGGGATGGCAGGGGCAGGGGGTGGAGAGGCAGGGGGCGGGCTGGAAGGATGGGAGCTGGGGGTGGCGGGGTAGGAGTAGGCTGGCTGCGAAGGTGGCTCCTCCATCTTTTGGATCACCTCAGCTTTGAGCACAGACACGGGTGAGGCCCTGGGAGAGAGGGGAGGTGGACTCACAGCCTTGCTGTAGGACGTGGAGGCGCTGGGAGACAGCACGGGTGGTTTTCGGTGCACCAGTCCCGGGGCTGAGGAGGAAAGGCCTGATTTGGCACTGTCCAGGCTCCGCTTCGTCACCTTCTCTTCCATATCCACACGCTGCTCGTTGGCCTTCAATCTCTCCTGTGACAAGAACAGAGCAAATGTCAGCACGACACCTCCTCCTGTTCCTGGAAAGCAGCACTGACCTACCACCACGTAAGACCAAAACGTGGTCTGATCAAATAGGCACTGGAATAAACACGTTACCTGATGCAAAACCATTTTAAAACAAATTTGATGGAGGGTGACACTGATCTGCAATAGCTTCTTTACAAATTCCCAGTTCCAGGAGTCCTGAGAAGGGTGTTTCAGCTTTCACTTGCATCCAAAGCAAATCATTTCTATTTCTAAGTCTCCAGCCTTGCAAGCCCATTTGTAAAGCCAAGGCTGAAAACCAGAGGAGCGCTATAAAAATGAACTGGGTGTAAAATACCAAAGCTCATGACTTCCAAAACCATTTTGTGAATGGGAGCTGTCTCCAGGAGCCAGTGCGATTGCTACAAGTCCTGCAGCTGCTTCTCTGAGCTGCTCACAAGGTTTGTTTGGAGGTGACCAGGGATAAAACCACTCAACTATACAGAGACATCTCCCTAGGGAAGGAATCCATGTCACGCTGCTACTGGGCAGCTCTCCTGACAGCACTGCTCAATGGCTCTACACCAAACCCATCCAAACTCCACTCTAACTGCAGGATGCACCAAGTGCTTCATATCCCAGGGACCAGGGAAGGATCACTCCATGCATCCAGACCCTTGAGACACACTTGCCACACAGACACAGCTGCTTCTTCTCCCCAGACACTCCAACTTCAGGTTTGTTTCACACCCAAGCAAGAAGCTCTCGAAAACATACCACGAGCTGGGCACTCCTCTGCAGCTCCATGGCATGGGCCGCTTGCTGCTGCAGGATGTACAGCTCGTGCTGCCGCAGCAGCTGCTGATGAGAGAGGAGCTGGAGCTGGTGAGCGTGCTGGAGGGAGCTCCTGGTCGGGGGGTACATGGCAGGCCACAGTGGGGGTGCCCGGTCCATCAGCTCTGCTGTGGAATGAGCAGAGTTGGAGTCAGGGAGGCAGCAGTGTAAGGATACCTAGAGGATTCAGGATCACTCAGGGCAAGTATCTCTATCCCAGGGTGTGGGGGATGCCAAACACTGGGCTATGAGGAAATGCAGAGTGCTGTCTTTCCCTTGCCACCCCCACTCCCATCACCCCTGGGTCCTGGAGTCATCAGACTTGCTTTGCTCTCCAGGCAATCTTGTTTTGACTGTCCATGGCTGAGCCCATGAATAGATTCTCCTAACCAAGAACTTTACCTTACAGGGTCCTGCAGGGCATGAAGAGCCACTGCCAAAGATCACACATTTCCATCTCCAAAACACACCTAATGAGAGGCCATCTCACACCCACCCTACAGCTGTGGTTGCTGGTCCCCATGGTTACATATGCTCCTCTCTAGCCCTCTCCAAAGCCCATTTTCCTCACAGCTGTCAAAGAATGGTCCTCAGGGACACGCTCACATCCTTACCAAAGTGTGGCAAGTGCTCGCTGGGGATCACAACAAGCTGCCCCGACTGCGGGTCTCTGGCAAACTGGTAGGCGGAAGGGAGAGCTCCCCCCATGGCAGGGGGGAAGCCTGGAGTCATGCCCTGGTGCAGGGAAGGGTGACCAAGTCCTGGAAGAAGAAACACCCAAGTCACAACTCAGAGGATGCAGGCAGCTCCTATCCAGTCAAGAAGTCATCTACCATTTGACTGCTCCAAAATACCTCCTTGCCTGTGAACAGCGAGCAGCCTCGCTGGGCACACAGCAACACCTCTCCCTGGATTTCATCCGTGTGAACACCCCATGCACACCGCTCCCTCCCAGGGCACTCACCATAGGGATGGCCAGCCAGCCACATGGAGGGGCTCCCTGTCCTGGGAAGCCAGGGGTGGGCTGCCAAGTGCGAAGCCGGGTCTGCAGACCAGCGCCCGGAGCCCGCCAGGGCTGGGCCTCCCGTCACCATGAGGTTGGAGTTCAAACCGTTCGTGGCGCAGCTGGAGGGGTGGATCCGGGCAAAATCTGCCAGCTCCTTGCTTTCTCTGTTACGTGGGAGGCAAGAGAGAGAGAGAAACGGTCTGAGTGATGGAGGAGCTCAAGGGTACAGACCCGTCTGCAGAACCAGTGTTTGCAAACCAGGGTCAGTCACTTGAGGAGAGCTGTGATGGAGGTGGTTAACATCACGTCCAGAATAAGACATCTCATCTCCCCATTCCTTTGGAGCAGGCATGGATTTGCAGAAGTCTGCTAGGATTCAGGATCTGCCTATAGTCCCATTTACCCCCCTCAACATTTCTTTCTGCACCAGCAAGGCTGGTGCCAGCACCTGCACCAGATGGAAGCAACCTCATCCCCTCTCTGGACAAGCTGTCCTCGAGCACAGCTCGTGGCTCTATGGCAAGAGACCCCATCTCCCACCAACCCTCACCTGAGCAGCTTCTCCTGATCCCGTTCCAAGCGCCCTGCCAGGAGGTGGCTGTCCCGGTGGCGGCTCCTCTCATCCCCACAGTCATCTTCGGAGCGTCCGTGCCCTAAGAGACAACCCAGCACCATCAGACAGGACAAACAGTCTGGGGAAAGCTGTCCCCTTTGCTCTGGGCATGGAGAGGCAGTACATGGGAGCCAGCACACCCAAACATCATTCTCTCTCTCCTCAAGGTTGTTCCATGTTCAAATCTCGAAGGACCAGACAAGGCTCTCTGTGTGATCAAGATATTTTCACTGAGGCAGCTCCTGGCAGCACACAGGTTTATGCGGTCCGAGGTTATGTCTTCAAGATATCATGGGACCCATTCACCAGGCCAGGCTGGTCTCCCAGGACAGGACAGCCACCAGCCTTAGAGCAACACAACCAAGGGGACCACTGCTGCTGAAGGACAGTGGCAGATCTCCCATCTCAGAAAGAGCCCTGACGCAGCTAAATCCGTACATCGAACCACCCAGTCCTGCTTAGCACATCTCATGGAGGGGAAAGGTTTTATCTCAGCCCCTTCTGAAGCACCTTCTGCTCTTGTAAACCAGTCTGGGAGCACCGGGTATGCTCCGAATCCCTGTCCTACTGCAACAGGCAGAATCAACAATACAAACCCTCACAAAACCAGCGCGCTCCGCTCTGCAATTCAACCCGTTAGCAGAAATCTGCAACTCCCCTGAGACATGCAACAAGAAAGGGTCTGGCAAGGCAGGGACACATATGGCAGATGAGGGCAGGAATCCAAAAAGGGGGGGTTGGATGTTTGGCTGGAGTAGCCGCTTGTCCAGAATCAGAACAGCTCTTGCAGATACAGCCTGGCACGATAGCAGCTGCGTCTGTGAGGGGTTAGGAGGCACCTGCACACGAGTGAGCAGCAGTGCCAAGCTTGGCTCTGCCAGAACCAGGTACTGGGGCCATCCTTCCCTTCTTTATCCAAGGTCTTCACCCCACCACCTGATTTTAAGCTTACTTTTCCCCAGTTTTTTTTCCCTAGCTTCTTTCTTGCATACTCATTTTTTCCACAATTCCCTGCTGCCCCTCTCTATATTATGTTTCAGTGACATGATCCATTCCTAAATCCCAGCCCTGCTTGCAGTGAGCACTCGGATAGTCTAACAGGGCCAGGAGGAAGGTGTTTCCTTCCCCCCAACTCCTGGTGCTCCCTGCCAGCACATCCCCTGCCTGGGCCATGCTCTGCACCCCACAGGGCTCAGCAGAGCAGCACAGCCTCGCAGGACTGCACCCCAGCAGCCCCTTCCAGGGTCCTCGTTCTCCTGTCTGGATATGGTTTGGCACATGGGAAAGCATCTCAGAACATCAAGTCTATTCTGCTGACAGGCAGTCTTTTCAAGGAGAGCTCCACTGTGCATTTCCACAAACCTGGACAGCCCATGGGTTTTTTGCTGTCAAGTCTCCAATTCCCTCAGCTTTTACTGTCAGAAGGAATCCAGGAACAAGACAACATCTCTCCCAACTCCTTTTCCCAAGGCTCCCTCCTTGGGCTCCAGGCAGAAAACAAAGATGCTTTAAAACCTGGCACACAGCTCTCCCTCCCGAAGGACTTTCCAGGGTCACCACATCTCCCTCACAGTCTGCCAGGACACTACGTGCAGTGGCTGTCCCCAACCAGCCCCTCCTCAACTCACTGAATGATGCCCCACGCAGCCTCCATTGCTCACTCTTACTACCCGACCTCCAAGTCACGAGGGCTCATAAATCCCTCCAGAGCCCAAACATTGTCCGCTGCCTCTCCACCAGCATCCACACTCACTCAAAAAATCTCCTTCCACACCCTAGCCCAGGTTCTTCCCCCTTAGAGCCCCTATTTCTTTTCCCTGATCAATGCCCAGCTGTCTCTTTGGTGTCAGCAATACAGAGTAAGCCCTTGGAGAGCTCACAGCCTCTCTCCTTGCCACAATGTGAATTGACCCCCGCCCCCAGACTTTCAATAGAAACACATTATTTTGTTATTTTACCATCGCTCCTCCCTCTCCCACCTACATTCCT